GGCAGGCTAACATTCCCGGCCTCTTTCTAACCCCCAGCTTAACACTTCTTCCTGTAATTTGCTGTTAATGTTGCAATTGTATTTTGCACTGCTCTGCACTGCATGTGCTTAAACTAGTTTGAAGTCTGCTGGATTGCTGTTATTTTCGATTCGTGCTTGCATGCATCCGCATGTGAAAGTTTTATGGGCGGACAGCTTCCGAAGGCAAACCACAAGGCATAACATAGCCGAAGCTGTTAACTGGAGTCGCAATTGCGCGACTGTTGATGTCTCCTACTTTTGTACTCTTTCTAAAATCATAAAACCCCCATGCAAAGATAGAACAGCCACACGCTCTTGCATATGATTGGGTGTGGAGAGGAGAGGGAGAGTACAGCACAGCTGTTGCTGCTGTCGTTGTTGCTGCTCTTGGCACCTCACATGATTTTCGTTTACGCTTTTGCATTTCCATTTCACACTTTCGCAAAATGCATTTTGCTGTCGTTTGAAATGTTATTTACAGTGTTTTGCATTTGCATAACAACAACAACAAAACCGTTGGCGCAGCAGCGGAATACGAGGAGGATACGAAGCAGCAGCAGCAGAGGCCGATAAAACAGGACCAGGTAGAATTTGTTGGTATATAATGAACTCGAGTCCAAGGTATATAACTGCCCACACACCGTGGTGGGGTGTGCACGAAAAGTGCAAAGCACAAAGCGGCGCTTCTTGCTGTTTGAGAACGGCCGAATTATGCCAGCTGAGTGGAGCGGATTTGCATTACCTTCTTATGATTGAACTCGTGCTTCCATACATATGCACTGTCTGCTAGAGAGAAGCTAGTGAGAGTGTGATAGGGTGGAGTACCCATGCCAGCCGAAGGTGAGCAGCAGAGAGCAAGAGAGATACAAGATCAAATGAGCAAATTTGTTGACTGTCTGTCAACTGTAAATTTCTGCACTCCGCTCGACCGCAATGCTGGCTCGCTCACCTTCACCTCACCCAATCTTCCGTACGCTGCTCTTTCGATGTGGCGACCCTCTCTCGTTTGGCATATGTTTGATGTTGTTGTTATTGCAGAGTTGTTATTGCGTATTTTGTTTTTGATTCATAGCATAAGGCTACTCAGGCTACCCTCCCCTCCTTTTATACAGCCATTTCTTTTTGCGGATAAAAAACACTAAAAATAAACACTCTCAGCAATTTTTAGTTTCACACAAAAATACAAAGCATTTTTTTGTAAAATTGAGGCAAAATTAACGCGAAAATTCCGACAACAACAATCTGTCAAAGATTTAAAAAAAATTCAAAAAATTTTGTTGGCGGCTTTGTTTTTGTTCTCTGTGATAAATAGCAGTCCGGTCGTCGACTGACGCACTATGGGCGAAAACTGCTGGGGCGTGAACCACGCCTATAAAGTGATACAAAGACGCGTGGTATAATAAACACACATAAAGATAAATACAGATATAGTTTTCATAAATTCAAGATTTTTCAATATTTTGAACATCTTATCACTAATCTGACTTGCCATCAGATTCCATTAACCCCTCTTCACCTCACTTAGCACCACTTAACACTTACTTGCATTAGCCTGTAATAACTGCTAAACCTTTGCAGTCGTATCAGCCTCACTCGTGGCTTATCAGAGTGGCTCGTGCGGCCGGCCATGCATGTAATCATTAAATGCATCATCCAGTGATAACGCAAACTCCCCACACCACAACAGTGCCCACATTTCCAGTGAAAGTTCTCGTTACATGAGCTACCAAAGAATACCCAAGAATTCAAATAGGGGCCAATTGGACTTGATTGTACACTGCAATAGAAGATTTATCTTTGCTCAGAAAACCCGGTTTGAGATAATACGAGGTTACAAGACTCAGATGTTGCTGCTGGGCAAGAGTTCTCCGAGGGAATTTACTGATTCTATGGTTCATTAATTTGTTTCTCCATGTATTTCTTGTATTATTTCAGACACTTTCCAAGTGACCGTTTGGTTTATAAAAACCCCCATAGGGTATCTCCAATTTAGTTCCCATTTAGGGTTTCCCCCCTAATACCCACACAAATACAAATAAATAAATACTCGTAGGGTATCTTGTGCATTTTAAATTGAAATTTGCATTCGAGATATTTAAATTGGTTTTGTTGTCCGCGTCAGTAAAACGTGATCGAGAAATAGCTGAGATTACGCTATCGCACTTACTCTCTCTCTCTCTCTGTCTCTCTCTGCAATAAAAATGCATTCTATTTGAATAAACACAGACTGGAGTGGTGGAGGGAAGGTAGTAGTGCGGCGCAAAGGGGTACGCACAAAGGAGATTTTTCATTTGAATTTCTAAAAACAACTTTCGCGGAACTTGAGCCGTGCTTTTGCTTCAATCGCAAAATTGAACAAAATACAGCTGCCTGCACTCGTTCTGACCACAAATACTGTATATGTACTTTATATGATATGTAAATACTATATCATATTTACAAAGAAACTTGAACAGGTTGCTCAGGCCCATGCCCATATGACATTTGCTGGAACAGCTCAAGTAACGTCTCTGAAACACTAAACGTTTGATTCTGAACTCGTCACTTCTGTCGTTTCTTAACAAATTCATATACATATCGCTTGTCAGAATGATTGACTGCTTCTCATTATATTATATTTTAAAATATATTTAATTTTTCTTCGTAAATTCTACAAATATGCTGTTAAATAATTCTGTAATTCTCTGTTCATTTCGATCTGTCATTTACGTTGAATGAATGGCTCAATCAAGCTTTGTCTGGTCTCGGGCTTGTATCCCGCCACTTGCAATTCAAATGCGTCAAACGAAAATTAAGCTGAAAATCACTCAATTTAAAATGGACTACAAAAGCAAAGCAAAATCGCAAGCAAAGATATGCCACCCTGCAGGTACCCTACAATGGAGGAGAGAGTACATTTTAAATTCATCTGGATATTGTTGAGCTACAATTATATGAATTGTAAATGAATTCAACAAAAGATTTTTGTTTCAAATTTCATAATGAAAATATTTAGCCTGGAAGCCTGCCCCAGCTGCAGATCTTATCAGCTTGTCGAAACTTTTACCAAAGCGCTTTGGCCCAGTAGCCCAGGGTATTCGTGGGAGTGCATTGGCAGCGTAATAAAATATAAATTACAAAATAGAGACTGATTGTTATTGCCTCTGATGATGCATAATTCCTGTTTCTTGTCTGCAGACAGCACCGAATCAAATTCCACACTCAAATTAAAAAATGTGTTTAGTAATTTTGTAGATTATTTTTTTTTCTCCGCTCCCCCCTGAAAGAAATATTCCCTTTTAATTTCTTGGTTTTTCTTCAGTTTTTGTTGGTTCAATCGTGTTTATTTTCTTGCTCTTCGAAATCCGTTTCTGTTATTTTGACAAACATTCCTTTTGTTAATAATATCATTTCCTAAGTTGTTCCGTTCGGTTTCCTTTCTTCCGGCTTTCCTGTTCATTGCAGCAACAATTGCAGCATGTGTCAAAGCATGTGTCTGTATTACGCATTTTCGTAGTATTTTTTTTTTTTGTATAATCGCCTTTGATAACCATAATTTAAATTGATTTTAATTTTTTTTTAACAGGGTCTACGTTTTTTTTACAATCTCATGTTGAAAAATATAAACAATTGTTTGCTGATTTTTTTATATCATTTTATCAACGTTTTTCATAGTATTTTTCATTGTTTATTAAAAATAGACAAAAAAAGTGTCGTGTCTTTGTTTTGCTTTGATTGCGAATTGTTGTTTGTGTTGTTGTCTGAGCATGCCGGCCAGCAGCCGCCAAAACTGCTAGTTACAGTCATAAAATGCGAAAACCATAACAAAATACATGAAAATACCACACACAAAATTAAAAATACCAAACAAAGTACCAACAAAATATTATTTAAAAAAAGAATGTATGAATAAAGAACAAATTTTATTTGCTTTTCATATTTCTGCTTACTTGCCTTTCGTTTCTCTGTTTCATTTCGCATCCACCCGCTATTGTTTACAAACGATAATTAAGTATAATTAAGGGGTTCCGTGGGTAGAATTGGGAGGCTATTGCGGGACTTTTTCGACAACATTTAGAAACTACGATAAGAACTAAACACTAAACTAGGTCACAAATGTACAATTACATAAATAATAGCTAACAAAGTGCATTTCTAGATCGAACGAAACAAAAAACACAATCCACATTGTTTTGATTAGTTTTTATCTCCTTAAATCTTAGAAACGAAATTCTCTAAACGAAGACAATAATTAAAAAAAAAAAATAACGTAATCATATAGTGGCTAAATAATATAGGTATATTTATATATATATTTATGTATATGTGTGTGTGTATGCAAGTATTATCATATAACGCTTCATAATAGGTTCTATATAAACATTTACAATTACAAGGGGAAGGACACCTCCGTGGGTGTTTTCTTCTCTTCTTTTTTAGTATTTTTTTGTATGTCGCAGAACTTGCATTTGTTTCTTTTTTTGCTGCTCTCCCTTAGTTCTTACTTGTTTGTTGTTGTTTTCTTTTCTTTTCTCTTTTTTTTTTGTTTGTTTTCTTTTTGCTTTAACAATGTGCGATTTTACAGTTTCTCATTCGTTTTTGCCATCCTCTCCTGTTCTTTCGTCCCATTCTGCTTGCGCCGTAGGATAGATATGCTTGTAGCACAGTGGTATAACGGTTCGTTCTCTTCTCAGCATCTCTTACACGTAAGTAACGCCCTCTCCTCTTTCTCTCTGGGTGTCTGTGTATGGGTGGGGGGTTACCAAATGTTTTTTTTTTTGTTTTCTCGAAATCGAAAAAGAAATTCTCTTAACAAATTGTACTATTCACATATATGTAAATATATATATGTGGGTGTGTGTATATTCTCGTTTGTAAAATAGATATAACAAATTTTCAACAAAAAAAATCGGAAATCGATCCAATTGGAGCGAAGGAGATAGAACGAACATAATCGTAAGCATTCATTATCATTATAAGATATTCTCAAGTTAGTTTTGGTTTATGTTTTTTTTCCGGTTTTTTTTTTGCTTAAAACCCGAACTTTTCTTCTCTTTTCTTTTCGCCTAATTAAAAATACTAAAGAAGCGCGCACCGCAGCCCTGGGTCATGGGGGGGATGGGGCCGACACGTGGCGGCAGTGGCGGGCCAGAGCCCAACCCCAGGGCGCCCTGTGTCGGGCAACGAAGGAAACTATTTTCTCATTTGCAAATCGGAAATTGCTGTTGGCTCTTGTTGTTGTTGTTGTTCTGTACTTGTTATGTGGCGACCCGGACACGTCTGGGATGCCAATGATGCCGGCGGAAGCAGCAGTTTGGGGAGCATAGACCGCTGCTCTTTCTCTCTCTTTCTCTCTCTCGCTTTCTCCGGTGTCTCGTCTACTTGCTGTTGAGTATGTCCTCACGGCAGGCGACGGCCGCTACGAGCGCTGCCCCACGTCCGGAGCCATCCTCCGAGAGCATGAGGTCAAAGGTGATGCCGGGCTTGATCAGCTTCGTGATCTTCTCGACCATCAGATTATGGAACTTGGGATGGAAACGGTACACACTGCCGTCAACGCCCACCGTCACAAAGGGCTCGTCCATCTTATTGATCAGCGTTGCAATGCCGGCAGAGACGAGATGAGCGGCTCGCTTCGAGACGCACTCGCAGATGTAGCGCACGTTGGCACAGTCACCGTCGGTGGCATTGGTCAGGCCCAGCTCCTCGAGCACCAGGCGGCAGTTGGTGAAGGTTCCAGGCTCGTCCGCCTCGATCTCGCTCACGTACTTGGTGAAGAAGAGGCCGCGCGTGTTGAGCACCTCGGAGTCCTGGCCCTTGAACAAGATGCCGGCGTGCGTCATTTTGACAAGAACAAGGCGCACCAGCTCGCCCATGTACATGCCGGAGATCATCTTCTCGAAGGTTTGCTTGCCGGGATTAATGCTATGGCTGTCGATATCCTGATCGAACTCGGTGCGAACAAAGTCGAGGGCGCCATTGTCGCCGAATGCGCCCCACTCGGTGTTGATGAGCACATGGGGCTTGCGGTTGCCCTCGACATCGAAGAGCTCTGCCTCCTCGACCCGCTCCACGTAGCAGGCGTTCGAGCCGGTGCCGACGATAAGGCCGATTTTGCAGTTGTGGTTCTTCCAGGCGCAGCTCATCAGGGTGCCAGTGGTGTCGTTGAGGATGGCGCAAACGTCGATCTGTACGTCGCCGCGCCGCGCAATCGCGTCCTTCAGCAGCTGCACCACATCCTCGTTCACGACTCCAGCGCAGTTGAAGCCCTTGGTCCATGTCTCCAGCAGGCCACGGGTGAGGCCTAATTGGCGCAGCGGGAACGAGAAGGTGAAGCCGAGAGGCAGTCGCTCCGCGTACACGTTGTGCTCGGCCATGAAGTTGGATAGGCACTCGGCAATGTGATCGAATAGCTGTGTGCCCGAGCCGGTCATGATGTGCTGGGGTATCGCGTAGATGCGCGACTCCATCTGGAAGTCGTTGTTTTCCTGCAGGTGGATCAGCAGCACCCGGAAGTTGGTGCCGCCGAGGTCAAGGGCTAGGAACTTGCCGCGCTCGTTCCCATTGGGAAGGTCCTGCACGTAGGTCACGAAGCACTTGACATTCGCCTTCGGGTGCGTGTCCTTGGCCAGGCCGCGGCGAATCTCGTGCAGGATGCGGTAGCACAGCTCCTGCACCTGCTCGTCTGTGAGCAGAAGCTGCTGACATAACTCGTAGACCATTTTCTTTTTCTCCGCCTCACTGGCCCCGGCTAGACCCGACAACGATGTTGCTTCTGTGGCTGTGGATGCGGACGATGCCGCCGCTGGGATTGCTCTGGCCGCTGCAGCGGCTGTCGATGCATTTGTCGCTTTGCTAACGCTGGCGCTGGCGGCGGCCGATGCAGATGCACTCAATGCTCCCCCCGACGCCGCCGTCCGCCGCACATTGTCCGGCTCGTCTTTGCTGTGGCCGTTCAGATGCGGTGTGGCCGCCAGTCCATTGCTATTTATAGACACGCTCCGCATGGCCCCGTTCAACTCCTGGTCCATCTTTTCGGCACTCTAACGGACAGTTCTGGCAGTCGTCTCACTACACACCCACACCAACAAAAAAATAACAGCGCAAGAGACACACGGGGGACTACAACAAAAATTCACTCAAAACCGATTCGTTGCGATTTTACACTCGCGAATGCAACGCAATTATTTTGTATTTTCTGTTACTTTTCTAGTTTTTGTTTCGTTTGCCTTTGCTTTGCTTTGCTTTGCTTTAGTTTTGTTTGCCTTAGCTTTTTTCTATGTTGCTTATGGTTCCGCTTTCCGAGTCTCGATCTCTCCACCGTTTTATTTCTGTCCGCTGCACGCGTCCGGTTGCTGTGAGAGCTTTGTTAACAGTTAAATCCACTGGCCGCTAGCTGCTCACTTTACGCTGCTGCTGCCGCTGTCGCTGCCGCTGCTGGCGTTACAAAAGCGTCGCATCTGGTTGTGTGTATGTGAGAGAGTGTGTCTGTGTGTGTGCGTCGTGAAGGAACCTTGAAGGTCAAAACTGAAAATTAGTATTGGGGCGGGCTAGTTGGAGATATGGCAAAAGTACAACAAACATACATACGAACATACAAATGTATATACGCATATCGGAGACAGAGCGATATGGGAAATGGAAGAGAGAGGGCGAGAGAGCAAGCGCCAGAGTACACGACATGCGCCGCCGCGACATGAATGAGTCAATTTTAACGTTCATGCGTGGCTTCATCGTGAACTTTGGAGCAATTTTTGAGCCACTCCAGTTCAGATTTACAAATCTGATATAATTGCAGTTTACTGTTAATATGATATGGAAATAATAAATTAAAAAGTAAAATTAAGTGTGCCATATCGGTAGGTAGGTACGTCTGCCGCATAAACCGAGTTCAATAAGGGGCGGCAGGCAGACAGCTGGACGAACTGCTCTCCCTCTCACGAGAGAGCCTACTATTGTCGTCGTCAGCAAAAACGGCAAGTTCCCTAACGCATGTGTGTTGTACTGAATTTACATACGTTTGGCTTCGAGTTTCACTGCGTTTTAGGCATACAGTGAGTATGAGTAAGTAAGTTTGATAGCTATTTAAAGCCCCGCTTATGGCTGGTATCTTAACAGCCCATCCACAGTATCGCTTGCAAATTGGATGTTGCATAAGCATTGTAGGGCATTCAAATAAACATGTTGTCGAAAGATTTTCTTTGGCTGCGTGCTGAGCCGTCCCAGCAATCCCTCCATTCAGACACAAGCTTTTATGCTCTCTTCTGGGCAGCCCGTGGCTGGTTGCGGGTTGTATAACAGTTAAAGAGAGCTACATACATATCTAGGGAGAACAAGTTTGCATAGCTGTGGCCAACCCCTCTACACCCCTTGCCCATAACTGCCAGAGCCAACGGAAAGTCTGGTGGAATTTGGAAACGTCAACATCCTCCGCCTTGGGTAGGTATTTTCTTCTTGCTTCCACTCTCGTCCGTGGGCTCGTCTCGCACTCTGTCGAGGGCCGGCCGTCTGCGCAACCCCCCTCTTTAACCAACAAGTGAATTTTTGTTGTATGTGTACGTGCCAAGAATCTTGCTCCAGCGCAACAACTGAGCGGCTCTCTTTGACTGAGTTCAGTCGTCTCTTCCTCTCTCCACCCAGGCACGGCACTCATGTAGTTCAATGGAATTTTGTTGTTGTTGGTTTTACTGCTTATTGGATTTTTATACATACATAAGCATGTGTATGCACATATGTACATAGGTACAAATTATATATTCGTTTGGATTTCGTGCGAGCTGTGGCATATTATCAATTCACCCATCCCATCATGTTTTCTAGGTGGTGCATTATGCATTAGCCCCCAAGAGGCTCGTCACTAATGCAACAACAACTAAATACTTACATGCACATGTACAAATGGATGTGTAGAGGAAAAGAGAGTGCGTGTGTACGTTCGTGTGCGCCTGTGGCCTTATAACTGTTATAAAAGCCTCCTGACACACACCAACAACCCATTCACACACGCCTTCCTCTTACCATGAAGCAACCATAAAGGAGGGCCTGTCGTCGGCAGCGGTCCTCGGGTAAATTCCCCCCGATGTCAGTGCTTGTTTGCTTGTCGAGGAAAGTTGTGCGTGGACAAATTTGTTTTTCAAGTTTAACCCTATGTGCGCCAAAAAATGAAGTGGTGCAGTTTATGCCGCAAGGTCGACGATGGTGTGAGATTGGTTCATGTACCGAAACGTTTAGAACAAAGAAAATTGTGGGAGCAAATTCTGGACTGCAGCCTAACTGTAAACTCGAAAATTTGCGATTCACATTTCCATGCTTCACAGTGGATGTCGTTAACTAGGAAAGGGCAGTTATGTAAAAGAAGGCGACTGAACGATGATGCTGTTCCGCAAAAAGAGACAGAGCCTCAACAAGAAATTGTTAAATTAGACTTTTCCCACGCGAGTACGCAAACAGAGTAAGCTAAACATGCTCAAATAAAGATTTACATAAATGCCAATACTAATTGTTTGTAATGTAGGGACAAAGTGATATCATGCAATCATGCACTACGTGTGGAGAACGAGAGCCTGAGGAAACAGAACCGTCAAATGCAGACGGAATTGCATTCGTTACGTCAGCAACTTGAGGACCATAAGCAATTGGAAACCAGTCTAAGAGCCATTTTCACCGAGACTCAAATAAAGATTTTAAAGAACAGAGGCAAAAGAGCCGTATTTAATGCAAGAGACATGTCTGCTGCTATTTGCTTTCATGCCGCGGGACCTCGTGCATACAATCATCTATACAGAAAAGGATTTCCGTTGCCGAGTCGGTCAACATTAAATAGATGGTTGGCAGATGTTCAAATTAGAGCAGGTACCCCAGATGTCGTGATAGATGTCATGGAAAATGAAGAAATGCCAGTAGTGGATAAGCTATGATAAAAACATTTCATTTTAGCAAAGACCTGGTTTAGCCATCCAGCGGATGAAAATGTAAAAATATTCGTTTTTTCTGACACTCCACATCTGATAAAGTTGGTCCGGAGCCACTATGTCGACTCCGGTTTAATTATCATGCATGTCTGTCCGTCCGTCCGTCTTAGCCCCGCCCCCTTCCGACCCCGCAAAAGGGCGAAAACCTCCCAAACCTAAAATTTTGAAGATAAAAGAAAACAAAAAACGCCATTGCGTAGGGAATGGCCATCTATATCAGATCACTAAATTGGGATCCGATTGGATCATTATTATAGCCACAATGAAGAAACTAATTTCCAGTGGCTAAACCCACCCTGTCCCGCAGCTTTTGTTATTCTTTTCACATTCTCTCATTCACACTCTGCTTCTGCTTCACTCGGCCTCTGCCGACTTAACCCACCCCCTCCCGCAGCTTATATTTGTTTTTTTTGTGTGCGGGCGCTGCCTCTGCCTCTTCTGGTCTTGGGAAGGGGTGCGAGCTAAAGGAGCGTGTTGAAAAAAAAAATGAAAAAATGTTAAATATTACAAAACACCGCTAGGGTGCAGAAGTAGTACTGAGTGCCGGGTATAAAAGTTGTGACGCGTAAGAAGCGTCTCACACGTCCCTTCTGGTTTTTATTCAAAATGTGGGCGAAGACAGAACCGACGAGTGGTTGAATTTAGATTTAAGTTCAAAATCAGTCAAAAATATCGAGGCAGACGATGAAGAGTTGGTCGAAGAAATCAATGAGAGCAGCGTAGCATTGGACGAGCTGACGGAGGACTCTCTCGAATATTTAGCAGGGACGTAATCAGGAAGCTCAAAATTGCTAAAAAATTGTCCGAAAAGCATACGTTTACTTATGTCGACGAAGTTTCGCATGGCGGACTCATCAAACCGTCGGTAGATTTTAAAAACATAATTAAACAACAAGAAATAATATTTTAAAAACTGTTAGTGATACATTTAAGGTAACTAGAGATTTAAAAAAGGTGGTTAGTGGCTGCCGAAGGCATTGGTTGTAATTTAGATATAACAACTTTTTATTTTAAAATTCGAATTTATTTTAGAATTAAGAATCTTAATAAGAAAATTAACATACAAAATCAAAAACAAATTGTAGCAAATTATTAAAAATTAAAACAAAATTAATTAAAACAAACAAAACTCGGCTTTTTCACATTGCATTCAAAAGGTTAATCGGCATACTCCATTGTCGTTTCAGTCACACTTACAGCTCAGTGCCACGACTGTGGTGGGCCGCAATTATGAGCAGCTTGTACTCTTATTCTTGTACAGTTGCTCTCTCTCTCTCTCTCTGCACGCCCTTTCACTAGCACCTATTGACAGCATTGTTGCGTTTCCCATTCGAGAGCCGGCGGGCCCTCCTTATAGTTTCTTCATGCCTCTGACTAAGCTCGTGAGAGCGAGATGACGTTTGACCAACAACTACAACTCACCCACTTTCCCCCCTTCCCATTCACCTTCAGAGGCTGCTGCACGTGTCCATCGGAATTATTTCGCCATCAAAACAATTATTTGTTTACACCAAATTGTTGATGCCAGAAAGTGCACGAAATTGTTGCATCTTTTTACTTTTTTCATTATGCTATGATAATGACACCCTTCCAGAAAGTACATTGGCACCGTTGGCACCGTTGCAAATTACACTTCTTATCAAGAATTGTATTGTTTCGTTACTCAAAAAGTACATTTCTTTGTGTGTGTGTACATTAAAATGGTAACAAAACCCCCAGACGGGGAGTGGTCTTTTTTGTTCTTGGTGGAACCTCTTATCGGCAGCGACGGAAATTGCTCGTGTGGAGAGGGGTGTGTGTGGGTGGGCTCGACTGTCTGGAAAGAGGGGGAGCGTTCTACTAAACAGAAATTCGTGCGCTGCACATATGTACGTATGTAGACCTGATGTATACTTGTGTTCCAAGTACATTGTTAATAAATAATTATATTATATTATTCCTTGTGTTGGCGGTACACCGATGCGAAAGATAAGTAAAACTAGAATAGGTTCTCCTGGGGACTGTGCAATCGCATGATGAGTCAGCCCCTTTCAACGCCTGAACATTGAACGGTGGACAGGCAGTCACCAATCGCCCCCTCATAGCTCATAGACAAATAAGGGGTTCCAGGAATCCCAATGCCCATACCTCCTCACCACAACCACGCCTTCAGTATTTCGTCAGAAAAGCTTCAGCTTACAACTGTCCTACGAGCATATCCTGTGTCACCTTCAACTGTCATACGCGGACGACGGCGACGTAGCTGCCGGCTGCCTGCTGTCTGCTGGTGGCAGCGGCCTGTGCAGAGAGTATTCGAGAATCCAGTTTTTGGGGGCTCGCCCCGTCACACACAAAGCCACATGCATACATACAAACATAAGTAGTGCGCTGTATATACATAAACTTATGTATAGGTACTGATGTGCATGAGTTTGATGGGTTGCTTTGCGCTTGCCGTTTGGTATATACAAAATAATTGATTTTTTTCGGTATTTTATCGTGTTACATGTATATATGTATATGCCTGCTCTTCAAGTGTGTGTGTGTGTGGGAAGAGACCACGCGCTCAACTTCTGCCGTGACGTCAATGATGATGACGTCGACAAAGCAGCGTCTGATGAAACGCAGACCCCCTCAGCCTCTGCCTCAGTCCAGAGGTCAATGCAGCGACAGCGAGGCAGCGGCTAATGACAGAGAGTGGAAAATTTGTGAAAATCCAAACACTTTGGTAGGATGACAGAGAAAGAGAGAGAGAGAGAGAGAGAGATACTGTCCGGCCTTCGATCATAAGGAAAAGTCATTAATTATAATACTTATTGTATGGTGGCAGAGCCGTAAATAAACTTCACGGGACGCTCGAAAAAACGCGGAAAACACACATAAAAAATCAAGAATACAAATGCCAAATCCATTTTTAAACGCAGCAAATCATAAAGGCCCCAGCCTTAGATGAGCGAAATGGCGAGGGATTGTGGTTGGGTGGTGAGTTGAGTGGCTGGGATTTTAGGTTTTGGGTTCTGAATGGAAAAATATTGGACCATCTTTCTTTCTCATTTCGTCAGCTGGAGCGTTGAGCAAGGTCAATGGAAAGACAAAAGGGGATTGCGTCGCGTGGCAGGGCGGTTAATTCCAGGGCCGCAAAATTAAACTTTGGCAAGGTCAAATCCGTATAACAGTTAATGTCTCAGCCTTGCCACACCCGCGCCAGCCCATCGCGACAAAATACGCTCCTGATCTGGGGGAAGAAACCAGTTTATCTCTCGGATAAGACGACACAATGGAATCCAAAAACTGGTTGATCCACATTGCCTAACCAAACCACTGATAATACGAATATGTAGTACTACGACTTCAAGCTAGAGCATGGCCTTGCCTTGGAAACAAATTCGCTTTTAATGTCGACAACACGTTTCAAACACATGAATCGCAGGGCCGTGAACTCTGAAGCGAGATTAGAGGTATACCCGGAGATCGGGCGACACGCATGTGGTGGTGCGATGCTGAGCACGTGAAAGTAACAAAATTGCGTGAAGTTTAAATTCAAACGCGCGCCCAGTGGCAGTGCTGCCAGACCAACGTAATAGGGAGTACAAATTTAGAGCTAGTTTTTAGTAGTTGGTATAGAAAAATACTTTTTAGTTTTAGACTCTGGAAACATTCCAAGAAAAGGAAGTCGTGAAAACCAAACAATCTTGTGGAGAGTTGATTGATACATCTGAGAAAATTAAAGTTTTAGCGCTGAGACTCCTAACTGGCAATATCAAGCTTAGTCTTAACATATATTGCATATACCCTTGCCGAAAAATTGCTTTAAGGAGCCGTTTCCGTTGGTTTTCGAAATTATGTGACCAAACGTAAAATATGAGAATATATCACAAAAAATGTCAATACATTGATATATTGCCAAAAAAATATCGCGATATGTAAATTTTTTTTAATTTGAAAAAATATTGAAATATATTTGACAACCCTACAACGGAGTGATATTTTATACTTTTTGGTATATTTTGACGTTGAAATCGAGTCGACGGTAATCGGTATATATAGATATATTTCGACAATTGTTCGGTATATTACGGTATATTTGAGAAGGTAACACATTTTTCAGAAGATTTTAAACAGATTTCAACCAAAATTATTGACGGGACTGGGGAGGCTCTACCAGACACCAAAAATTGAATATGCAGAAGCAAAATTGGATCGATACTTATTTCATGGCTTTCAATAGCGACATTATGAGTCGATTTACATACATTTTACAACACGCTGACACTCAAAAGCACAAGGACGCGTTTTTTACAATCTTCTGCGGACTTTATAGGTTGATTCGTTTGTCGAGGAAAAAAGTTTAGCTGCCAAAGTCAGAAGCGCCGAATGAACGTAATAGCTCCTGCTTTAGACAACTACCTACCGTTTCGTGAAATTAGCTTGTATTGCCCTATCAAACGCTTTTGCGTGAGCGACAATGTTCTGAAGAGAATTGAACAAAAATCAACTTAAGAAATCTATTTACGACCAATAATGTATCTAATCCTATATATAGATATAAGAGAGAAAAATGGTTGGAAAAATGTCCTAAACCCAAGGGAAATTGAAGATGGCGAGAGTGAAAATAATGTTTTTTCTCCTAAGGTCTACAAAGAAAGAAAGGAAATGATCTCCCATAAAGAAATAATATGGTTTTGATACGTTTTAATTTAAATTAATAAATATTATTTCCACTGTATATTTCCCGGTATATTTTGAAAATGGAAAAGTATATATCGGTATATTTTCGAAGCCCTGACGGTATCTCTTATCGATAATTCCGCGGTCACACTGACGCCTACCAAACCCACATACACACTCCCACGATTTTATTGTTGCTGAACAAAAAGTGTAGCTTAAAACAGTTCGAAATCCAAGTAAACACTCAGTATACAAGGGTGTGTTTGGTTATTTGGTTATTTCTGTTTTTTCTTGTGAAAGTGCGCTAGGGATACAGTGACCGCGGGGGAACAAAAACGTGCGTGTGCGAGTGCAATGACAACGTCGACAGTGAAGCGATGCCGACGATCGTCGCAGACGGCGCCCGCCAGCGGTGATGCCGTTCCCGGGGAGGATGCGGATGTGGTAATGGCCAATGATAGTCCCATCCACACCAGCGGAAGTCTGTCGAAGCGGGACTCCGAGGAGGATGCGTGGGCATCCAAGGGATACAACTACATCAATCCCTTCGTGCACCGCGTCGAAATCGACAGTCACATTGAGGTGGCCAAGGTGAGTCGCGAGTCGCATTCCACATTTCATTTTGCAGACGGAAACGTTATTTGCCTTTCGCCATTCTTCTCTGTGCCATTGATTCATGCAAATCAGAGCGAGCGAGCACGCAGCACATGGGCGACCGCCGCCAAGCTAATGATGGAGTCGATACCGCTGTTTTGCTGCTTCCTCTTGGGCACACAGCATTTCAAGTGCGCTGCTACTTTCTCTTGCACTCTTTCTGGTATGCTCTGCTGTGCTCTGTCATCGCCTTGCATTGCACTTGACATGTATTTGCCGTTACATTCATTGTTCGTCGTTGTTGTTCTTCTCCTTTGCAATGAGCTTTTTTTTTATCTGCCGCTGCTGCCTGCTGTCGCCTCACTCTGCCTACGTCAGCGTTTCGCAGGCGGGCAGCGAGAATCGTATGATTTTCTTGTTCCACTTGCGGCTGGTGTGTGTGTTGCTGTTGTTGCGTACGTTGTTGCCGGTTCTTTTGGCATGGCATGTGTTGTGCTCTTACCTTTCCATTCCCCCATAACCCCCTTCGCGCCATGCACCGTTCACCGCTGCTCGCTCACCTAGCTGGTGTGTAGTTCCTCTTTGGTATTGCTCCTCTTTCTTCTCCTCCGCTCCTTCCTACAGTGCGTTTCAAAGAACAATACACTCGCTCGGCCGCCCCTTCACTCTCATCAGATGGCGCAATCGGCAAAACGTTTACAGTTTCCCACACATTCTAATTGCTTGCCCGTGTGCCAGTAACAACAAAGTATTCAACAAAAACAAATACCAAAACCGTAAAAATGGCGCGAGATTTGCAGCCCTCAAATGGATCTAATTTGAGAACATCGCCACACGTTTAGGGGCAGAGCTTAACCTTGTTTCGGCATTAACCACAGAGGAAACTCGCTAAAGAGAAGATATCTCTTTGAAATCTCTCTTTCTCAATCAAGAGAGTAATTGAGTAACAGAAAAGACTGACCACAGCAGTGCCGTTACACACACATACACATTTATTTCTCTGGATCCTCATTAGTTGACATAGGTCGATATCTATCCTATTAACATGTACATATACTTATTTCATATGTACTATGGTATGAATTCTGATTCATTTGTGCGGTTCGACTATTTCTAAACTGACTAAGAACTTGAGCACCCAAGCCCGATACTGGTAATGCACTCGCAAATCGATTAGATCGGTCCGTTTATTGGGTTTATTTACATATGCACATTTGTGTGTATGTGTGTATGCTTTTGTGTTGTGTGACAGCTGATCTAAATGACGCACCCAAATGGCTCTATCGCTGAGTCAAGTCTCAAAGTCTCAATTGAAATTGAAACATGCTGGGAAAAAAAGAACACAGCGATTCGATTGATAAGAAGTAGAGAGGCGTTTGTGCAGTTTCTTGAAATAAAATTGAAGCTAACATCGGAATTACGGTAAAACAAACATTCGAAATTTATAGAACTTGAAGTTATGTTTATTTTAGGTTTGTTTTTTTTTTAGGAGCTATGTATATTCCTCCATATTATCGATACTGGGCGCTTCCGTATCCTAAAGATTTGAGCAGACTCGTCACGCACACGGTGTGTATTTTGTTTAAGCAATCGCACACACACAAGCAACTGCGTGTCGGTTTTCGAAGAATACAACTCGAAGCAATGGGAGCAATTGTGGCAGAGCAAGGACGTGCCCCCATCGCATGATCGTTATCGCGAACTCTTGAAACGCTTTTTGCTTTGTGTTTTTGAATAGCTCTTCACATAACAGACACAGAGAGAGGGGGACAGAGAGGGCGAGACAGAGAGTGCGCTGTGGACACAGCTGAGTGCCGATGCACCTACGGTAAAGCACACAGCGGAAGAAGATCACAAGAGGAAGCTTCAATATGGCTGGAGCCATTGACCCACTAATAACATTAAAAACGAAAAATAAAATAAAAACCCCCTCCCCAAAGCACAGCTGAACAGCGGCAGAGCGGGTGTTGAGGTTGGGCGAGGAGGAGATGCAAAAACCTGTTTCCACTCGTCTTCATAGCCACAGAAAGTTCAAGGTACTCTGCGGCGGCATTGGCATTGGACTACTCCACTGCTGTCTTCCTTTTTCGTTGTGCTTTTCGCTCTTCATCCGCTTTTAGATATTTACATATGTATGTATGCACACACATACATTAGTAAGTATGTACAGTATGAGGATGTAAATTCGTAAGGTACAAGGGCAAAGCTTTCTCTTGATCGTTTCAGAATTGTGCAAAACATCTTGGAACTCGAATTCCACATTGTATTTTTCACAATTCCGTGATATAATTTTAGTTAAGTTTTACGCCTGCTGAATATCAATTAGATCAAAACATAGATCAGCAAGTCTTAGTAGCGGATAAGGTATCAATCCCATGGTCAGAATATCGATTATAGCATTCTCTTCTACGTGCTGTGTTTGCTTCTCCTTCTCCTTCTCCCAGTCCCAGTCGCAGCCAAAAGCCCACCCTGCATGCATACATAAATAAACACATACATACACACCAATTTGTTGCTGATCCGTTGAAATTTATTCTACAATAAAAGCATTCCCCAAACACACACAAAATTCCGAGGGAATCGCCGCTTTATTGCTTGCTCTGCTTTTCTGCTTCACGCTTGACAGTGGAGCAGGGGCAATCAAACATTTGTTTGACTGACTATTTCCATGCTTCGGGTTCATTGGAACATTTTGCGATCGGCCAGAAACCGAATCCAAAGTCCGCTTTTTGGCCCGGTAGCCGGCACTTGAATGATAAGCAGCGATTTGTCGCCAACCCCATAATTGGCTATCGGCAGATGCAAACATTGAAATCTTTGTAGTTGAATGGATTTATGTGCAGAATTATATGTTTGGTGTAGCTAAGGCTAAGGTTTATGGAAATAGCTCATTGCCACACAAGATCAATCAAGATAAAAACAGTTATCCCTTTGGGGCTAAATGTTAGCCAAAAATCGTAATGCCAACGGGGGAAAAATCAATAAATTGTAGCTGTTGCGCCTGCATGGCATATTCCTATTAGGAATAGCAGATAATGCACACCAGACAGACACCAACCAGCCATGTGCCTTGTCATTTATTTTAAGATTTCAATTAATTATTTCAATTAATTATCCGCATGCCTTTGCCTCCGTTGCAGGTGTATGTGTTGACGGTTTTGTTGCTGCCCATTCGTGTGGTTGGATGTGTGCTCTCCCTTCTCTCTGCGTGGATGTTCGCCTGCATTGGGCTCTATGGCATGACGCTGGATGATCTCAAGGCAAGGCCGCTAACCGGCTGGCGCAAGTAAGTGCTGGAATATCCACACACACATACCCGGTGGCCTAACTTATCGCCTGTTCCTCTTGCTCTTCACAGGCAAATGCAATACATGACGGCGAAGGCCATGCGCATGTTGTACACTTCGGGATCATTTCACTACATAAATATGAAGGGTACACGGGCGACACCAAAGCAGGCACCCATACTGGTGGTGGCACCGCATTCCTCCTATGTGGACTCCATACTGGTGGTGGCCACCGGACCGCCATCGATAGTGGCCAAACGTGAGACGGCCGACATACCGCTGCTGGGTCGCATTATCAACTACGCCCAGCCGATCTATGTGCAGCGTGAGGATCCCAATTCCAGGCAAAACACCATAAAGGACATTGTCGATCGAGCGCGATCCACGGACGATTGGCCGCAGGTTGTCATCTTTGCCGAGGGCACCTGCACAAATCGCACGGCACTGATCAAGTTCAAGCCGGGCGCCTTCTATCCGGGTGTGCCGGTGCAGCCAGTCCTGCTCAAATATCCAAACAAATATGACACCTTCACCTGGACCTGGGACGGACCCGGCGTGTATGTCTCACCTTCCATTTGTTGTTTATATTTTGTAACATTCTGATGTGTGTCTGTCTGTTCGTTTTTATTAGGCTACGTTTGCTTTGGCTGACCATGACACAGTTCTACAATCGCTGCGAGGTGGAATATCTGCCCGTCTATCAGCCAAACGAAGCCGAAATGGCCGATGCAAATCTCTATGCAAACAATGTGCGCAAGGTGATGGCCAAGTAAGTGTGGGAGAAATGATCTTTAATCTGTTGATCTCTTGGGAATCATTGCTAACACTTGAATTGACTTCCCACAGAGCTCTGGGTGTGCCCACATCGGACTATTCCTTCGAGGATGTGATCATAATGAGTCGCGCTCGTGACATGAAGATTCCCTTCCCCGGTGACATTGTGGAGATTGAGCGCACCATCGAGCAACTGGGCCTGTTGGAGAGTACACGAGATAAGGAACTGTGCGAATTATACCTGAGTTTGTCCAACACGGACAAGCTGGACATTATCACCTTTGCGGAGCTGCTTCAGGTGGATCTAAAGAATCCGAGTTTGCACAAATTGTTTGCCCTGCTGGATCATGTATGTATTATGACGATGAGCCATCTCGCTCTAACTGATGATAAACTATCTCTGTTCGTTTAGCGTCGCCGTGGCACAGTCTCGCTGAAAAGTTTCCTCCTGTGCTCGCTCTTTAGCAAATTGAAAAACGCCGATCTAGCGACCTTTCTACGCGCACTTGTCAATGTAATGCATGCTGCAGTGGATATTATTTAGTGTCTCCATTGATACCCTTTTCTCTTGTGCAGCTCTATAGCGAATCGAGTGAGAAAATAAGCAGGGAGAGCTTTGTGCGTCTGATGCGGCATGCGGGTGGCAAGCTGAACGAACAAAAGGCCCAAGCGCTCTACTTTGCGCTGGACACAGCCAACATTGGCTACGTATCCTTTGGTATGTCACATTACGAGATATTTAGGTTGAAACTGCAATTAAATTCAACTCTCTTCTAGATTCCCTTTTGGCGTACACGGAAAACCAATCCAGCTACAAGTTCTTCTATCACAAATCGGAGCACATAAGAAGATCGAAAACGACCAAGAATGCCGCAGGCAGCCCCAACTAAAGCTGGATCTTTAAAGTATATTGAGAGCAAAATACAGCATAGAAAATACGGAAGATTTGAGGAATGTTTTTAGAGAGAAAAAGCCCAAGCCCAAGCCCCAGCCCCCAAACCTAGGCAGAAAGTGTAACTGTCGGAGTGTAGATTTTTAATATTTATTTACCGTGTAGCGCACGTGTCCCCCCTGGCACCTATACAATTTAGTTATTCTAATTTCTACGATTATTGCCTTAATTAATATCTCTTTTTTTTTATGATGTTGTTGTTGTTGTCACAGCAGATGTGGAACTGTCTGCGTGCCGCCAGCCTTGTTATTATTTATACTTATTCTGGACTCTTAACGCAAGTCATTTCATCTTTGTGATTTTTTTTATACACACAAACAAAGCAACCAACTTACGTTACTTATTAGGCGTTATGCATATACACTTAAATATACATAAACAAAAACAAAAGAACAACATAATTACACTTATGTAAACTATATATAAATGTCTATGTAGAGGCAGGCAGGCTAACGTCCAACGTAATGTGTATGGTATTTGATTGCCCGCTTCAAATTGTTTCAAACACACGTAAATATATATATTGCACGGCAAGCCATAAGTATAAGACTAGATATGTACCATGTAGAGAGGTGTGTGTGTGTGTGTGTGTGTGTGTGTGTGGCCACCACCCACCCATACCCATCCAATGACACGAGACTTCTTGTACCACGGAGCGAACCCAAATAGAAGAACCACCAAACCAAGCACATTAAATGAAAGCAATTATTATTGTAAAATCTTGAATTTATGACAACTTATGGAACACTGTACTGAACCCAGAAAGAACCAAAAAACACCAACACACAAAGTGGAAATTAGGTGTAAAATTGTTTTTACACGCCCTAAAAGCAAAGGCGGTAAATATGTGAGCTTCCTGGGCTTTTGAATCCTTTATTCAGTACGGTTTAGGGTACTGCCACTCAGCCAACCAGTCAACCAGTCGAAGCAGCCAAAACACCATTAGAGAGGAACTCTGTTAGCAAACCAAGACACACTCTTCCGTTCTCTAGTTCCTATCCAGCGACATGGCGACAGTAGCTCATAATAATAATAATCATAAAAATCTCTTTGTGCATTTGTAACTAATACAGAACAAAAAAACACTTAAACTAGACATTTAGTGGCCGGCAACTGGCACAGCGAGCAGAAACTTAAACTGCGCATAGCCTGAACTTAACCCTTAACACCACGCAACCAGAGTCTATTCTATAAATTACCAAAAAAGAGATTGATGTAATTAGAAAAAAATGGAAACAACAAATGGCACCAAGCTAAATGTAAGAGCCCGGGGGCAAAGGCAAAGAGGAGAAAACAGAAACCTAAAACCCTAAGCTAAATGATATTATTTATGTGCTATTATAATGGATATTATTAGCAACCTAAGCCTAGGCAACCGAGAGCAATCCGATTCGGGATCAGTATCTGTACTCCCACGTCCATCGATTCGAGAAAAATGCTCACAAACAAAAAGAAAAAATATATATAAAAATATATAAATATATCTGTGTGTGTCTACGAAACTAAACAAAATGAACGATTTTTAATTCTGATTGGGTTAGAGTGCACGAGGAATGTTAGTTTGATGGGCGTACTCTTGGGTACCGCCCCCACACTTGCAGCACACTTAATCCGAGTCGATCTGAGCAGCAGCGTTCTGGCTTAGCCTCACAGTCGCACATCGTTAGCCGAGCGCAGCGGAAGACTCTCTTTTTGTTGTTGTGTGTGTGTTGTGTGTTTTTTATTGGAAAGTGTTTCCTTCGGTAATATGCCAGGAGCTGCTGCAAGTGGCAGACTCCTGCTGTGGCCATGCCTAATCCTACTTCTGGCTTCTGTTTGGCCAGCGGTGCAGGCTTTTGTCAACTCGTAAGTGACTGTCGCTCAACAAACAGATCTCGTCGTGGTCTTCATTCTGCTCGATTTTCAGACCGAAAATCATCAGCAAAGATGGCAATTTGATCTTTGAATCGGGTGCCAATCGCAACATTAGCTTTCGCCTGTCGGGCAACTCTCGTCTGACCATCAACGAGGAGTACGATGTGCTCGAGCTGCTGCTGGCCAGCGGGGGATCAAAGAAGCGACCCAACGGCAGCAACAAGGATGAATGGAGCTCGACTGAGGATTTCGTTGATATCCGTAAGCTGGCAGATCAATTAACAGACTTTCAGCGGCGTGCCTTTGGTGCGAATGGACTCAAGAGCATGCTGCAACAGCAGCTAAACAGGTGAGTGGGATGTGAAGGGCACGACTTGCTCTAGCTTAAAGTGAATTTACGTGGAAGGTGAAGTTGTCCGCTGTTATTCCCCACGCTCTCTCGGCTTTCTGTTTGTCGTATGAGATTGCCCTTTTGCTCCAGCCCTTCCCAGCTTCAATTCGGAGTTCTAGAATTTGCATCTCTCTGCTTGATTTCGCTGCAGAACACGCGGCTCACGGGTTTTGCTGCGACGCTATCAAATCCGTTTGCGTGCCATGGAGAACAAGGTGAATCGACTGGAGACGCAGCTGGAGCTGAACAGCTGCCAGAGTGGACCCTGCGAGAATGGCGGCAGCTGCTACAATACCTTCAGTGGCTATCGCTGCCAGTGCCGGCCGTCCTTCGAGGTGCGTTTTGTGGGGCGTATTTGGGGGCGTCTCTCTGATCATCTCTCTTGCGTTTCAGGGTGCCAAGTGCGAGATTGATGTGAACGAGTGCGCCCTGTATGAGGGCACTGACTTGGCCTGCCAGAATGGAGCCCAGTGCCTGAATCAGTTTGGATCCTACAGCTGTTTGTGTTTGCCGGGCTGGCATGGAATGCACTGCACCCAGCGGAAGGGTGACTGCACACAGGCGAGCGCCTGGGAGCTCTGTGGACATGGCGCCTGTGTGCCCAGCTCCGATGAGGCTGGCTACCGTTGCCTATGCACGCCGGGCTGGAAGACCAACGGGCTGACGCCCGTCTGCGGTGAGGATGTGGACGAGTGCAGTGACACTGCTGCCCACACGCCCTGCTCGACCAAGTGCATCAATCTGCCGGGCAGCTTCACGTGCGCACCCTGTGCCGCCGGCCTCACGGGCAACGGCATAGGTTGCCGCGACCTAAACGAGTGCGAGACCAACAACGGTGGCTGCAGCCTCAATCCCCGCGTGGACTGCCTCAACACCTATGGCTCCCATCACTGTGGCGAGTGCCCCGTGGGCTGGACGGGCGATGGGCGCACCTGCGAGCGCAACAGTCCCAGCAGCGGCAGCGGCAGCAGCAGCAATCCCGGCAACTCCGAGTTGGCCACCATCAGCAGCTGCGCGCAGCGTGGCAGTCTCTGCCATCCGGCGGCCAACTGTTTCGAGATCTCCGGCACTGTTGTGTGCAGCTGTCCGAGCGGCATGGTTGGCCCAGGCTATGGTGCCAATGGCTGTGTCAATGGCACGGTTCTAAATTGCAAATCCAATCCATGTCTGGTGAGTCTTGATCGAAAACAACATAAATGCATGTGCATGATTGCTCTCCCATGCTGTGTAGAACAATGGCATCTGCTTGGATGGTGGACCCGCGAACTTTACGTGCCTGTGCAACCGTGGATTCCGGCCGCCACTCTGCGAGCCACTGCCCAATCCGTGTGAGGCGCATCCCTGCAAGAATGGAGGACGCTGCAATCCCACACTGTCGAGTGCAGATGGTTTTGTGTGCCAGTGTCTGCCGGGCTACCGGGATCGATTGTGCGCCACGCGCTTTAGCAGCTGCAATGCACTGCTGAGCGCCGCGAGCGGTCGACTGAGGTATCCGCCGGAGGGCATCGGCTACGAGCACAATGCCCAATGTGCGTGGGTAATCCGCACAAACGAGTCGCTGGTGCTGAATGTGACATTCAGCACCTTCGATCTGGAGGACTCTACCGAATGCCGCTTCGACTGGCTGCAGGTCAACGATGGCCGCTCGGCGGCGGCACAGATCATCGGTCGTTACTGTGGCAACCATTTGCCGCATGGCGGCAACATCATCTCGTCGGGCAATCAGCTGTACCTGTGGTTCCGCTCGGATAACAGCACCTCCCGCGAGGGCTTCGATCTCAGCTGGGTGTCAATGGAGCCGCAGTGCGGTGGCCGCCTCGAATTCGAGTCGTACGGCACCTTGGCCTCGCCCGGATCGCCGGGCAATTATCCCAGGAATCGGGACTGCCGCTGGCACCTGGTGGCACCCACCAGCAAACGCATCAAGCTCACGTTCTTCAGTCTGCAGCTGGAGCAGCACACCAACTGCAATTTCGACTATGTCGAGGTGAGTAGCGGGATGGGAGTTGAGGAGTGAGGGTTGGGCATAGCTCTACTCCATCTTTTGATTGCTGTCTCCACAGATCAGGGACTCCATTTCGAATCGAGAGCTGGCAAAGTTTTGCAGCAGCGGCCAACCCGCTCCACTGCTGCTGCCCACCCACGAGGCCATCATTCAGTTCCATTCGGATGCCGACGGCACCGACTCGGGCTTCCAGCTGCACTATTCAGTTGAGGAACGTGTGCCGGGCTGTGGCGGCACCTACACCAGCCAGGAGGGCTCCATACGCTCCAGCAGTCTGACCAGCGATGTGCCCATGTCCTGCGAGTACGAGATACGCCTGGCCATTGGCGAATCGGTGGGCATTGACTTTGTCGCCTTCGAAATGGGTCGCCAGGATTGCCTGGAGCTGTACGATGTGACCGAGCTTGGCAGCAGCCTGCTGCAGGCCAAGCACTGTGGCGAAACGCCTGGCATTCCGCCCAACTTCAGGTCTCTGTTCAATCGGGTGCGCATCAAGGCGTACGCTGTCCGCGGACGCTTCGAGCTCCACTACCGGACACTCTGCTCCTACACATTCGACAGTGACTCGGGCACTGTGCTCTCGCCTGGCTATCCCAATCTGACGACCAGCGACACGCTGTGCACCTACACAATCAGCACGGCGCCCAATAAGTTGATCGTTCTGAATCGGCTTGACTTTCAGCTGGAGGATGGTCTACAGACAAGCGATGATGATGACGAGGACGCTGCCTGTCTGGGCACCAGTTTGAGGGTGAGTTTGGCTCTCTGCCAAAGGTCCTTGATTGCCATGTTCTTGATGATTCTTTTGCTTCTCGGACAGATCAACGCTGGCATCAACCGCCAGATACTGGGACCCTACTGTGGCAAGCATCTGCCGGATGAGGAGTTTATTAGCCGCACAAACCACTTGATTCTGCAGCTGCAAACGGACAGAAATAGTCGTGGGCGTGGCTTCAAGTTCGAGTATCAGACAGTGGCCGCTGCCAGCGATCATTGTGGCGGTGTACACACCAAGGAGGGACGCATCCGTCTGCCCGTGTCAGAGGACGGCCACTATGACAATGATCTCACTTGCTATTGGGTGATTCAGGCGCCGGCACGCAAGGTCATACGGCTGCACTGGCTGAGCTTTCAGCTGGA